ACACTGAGAAAAAAATGTACTAAATTTTAATAAATATTTACTTGAATAATATTGTACTATAACATTCATTTAGGAAAAATAAATATTTGCTAAATAAAAAAAAAATAATTCATGATTTGGTCATCTAATTAATGGTTTTTGTACGAAATAAATATGTTTACCTTTAGTAGGTATTCAAAACTGACTATTTAAACAAATATTTATTAAATAATTGGCGTATTTTTCTCTCAGTGTAGTATTTGAGAATATTGTGAATTTAATCAGAACTTTCTGAAAAAAGTAAGGAGAAACCAAACAAATATTAAACGGAATAAGCACGTTAAGTACACTAAAAAAAAATTATTAAATCTTAATACATATTTCTTTAAATAGTATTAAGTAAATATTTATTTACAGTATATAAATATTTATTTAATAAAAAAAATGTGACACATAAACCAAATTAATGGTTTTTGTATTAAATAAATATATGTTTGCATTATTTAATATCTAGTATTTAGTAAATATTTACTTAGAATTATTCAAATAAATATTTATTAAAATTTAGTATTTTTTCAGTGTAACTTATATGTATATATAACAATATTTTTAAAAATAAAGATTTTAATTAAAATAAAGCTTTTTATTGCGAATTTTCGATGGAATTGCATATTTAAAGGTTCGTAAAAAATAATTATTAAAAAAGATAGAAAATATATTATACAATATTCATACAAAATAATATTTTACAATAATTCACATTTTTTCGCCGCTAGGATATAAATATATCCAGGTGACTATTCCCGCGCGGATTAACGTCATGCATGATAACATCGTTAATAGAGTCACGTCAGTTTTATTTCGAAAATATCACGCATTTCCATCTTGTAGACCGCACAACATGTAAGCTGATAAGCGTGACAATTTGGACGGTGAAACGGTGCAGCCGAACAATTCATGAAAAAATTCACGACATCAGCAGAACACAAAGTAAGACTCCCGTTAATGACTCGGAAGTGTATTACCTCGCTTGTCCGTCCAGCCGAGGGACGCGCGGATAAACGGATAAATTGAGTTTCAGCGGCGGTGTTGAAAATGTAAATCCTGAATGCAGGCGATCTGCTTTCTCAATTATATCGCCGGTGATGGATGAATCCCAATGGGTGTCCTGCTTTCCCGAAGAAAAGCGACGCTTCCGTCCCTTTTGTTGCGGTCGCTGTGCGCTTCCCGGGTTTTATTCATAAATACTGCATGACGAGATGTTTGCAGCGTCGGTCACTTTACCTCGGAAATCGTCTTCTTCATAAGATTTAAGTCGATAAATACAGCGACCATATAATATAATTCTCATTACATCATTATTATATAACTCGTGCTTCTTGTCAAGTTCATCTCAATTAGTTTTTCTATGTGATAAATATACTTTCGCAGTTAATCTCTCGAAATTTTCCCGAGAGCAAATTAATAGGTATTATATTTTCACGAGGGATCTAATTGTTAAAAGTGTGATGGAGAATTAGTGCACCACTCTACAGAACTAAGACCATAGTGGAAGGGAGGCTGTCGGGCAGTTACTCATTGTTCTTTTTTGTCTCGTACATATAGAAGAAACTTTTCAACCTATCATTATATGACTGTGTTCGCACATATATGTGCATATTATATATATACGTGAGACGCAGTCACGAAAATGGGATCTTTTGAGTCTTGTTTACTGCGTTTTCGGCTATTTTAAGGGAGACAAGCCGCGGCGCGGCCCAAGCCAATTCCGTAATCAAAGCGTGAAACACGAAAGACAAACCTACAAACAAACATAAATTACTCTCAGAAGTGTTCGCGTCTCGACGCGAGAGTCGGCGTGTTATTTTTTTGTGCACTTCGCGGGATACTTCGTGAATCGTTTAACCCTTAACTGGTGTCATGAAAAAATGTCACACTTCTAACGTCGTGGATCCCTTACTATTCAAAGGTTATTTTTCAAAGGTTAAAAAACTCTGATTAATCTTGAAAACACTTTTATTATATCTTTTTGATGTTCGGACCCTCATTTACCTGTTTTCAATTAAAACTAATATAATAATCAGCATTGTATTAATCCTCATTTAAAGTACCTACAGTTAATAAATTTTCTGCTAACAAGGAAACTCATGGAAGTGTCGCTCTCCAATTTTGATGAGCGCTTTGAATATTAAATTAATTAAATTAAATAAATTAATTAATATGTTATTTTTTAGAAAAAATGTAAGGAACACGTATTTTTTTATTAGGGCCTAATTGCACTTTTAGATGTTTGCTAACCTCTTTGAAGAAAATTAGTTATTTTTTAAAACAAATATTGTCGAAATTATAAGAGAGGTAGAAAAAATATTTGAAATAAAAGTTGAATGGTTTTAAAAACACTTAATAATTATAATTGAAAAACTTTTTTAATTTTTATTTTTTATAAATAAAATTTTTTTATTAAAACAATTTTTTTAATTACAATTATAAAGTACTTTTTAAATTATTCAACTTTTATTCAGAACATTTTATTCTATCCTCTTTTACAGTTTCGATAATGCTCGCTTCAAAAAAATTTTCTTCAAGGTATTATACACTCCCTAAAAGTGTGATTGGGCCCTTACAAAAAGATACTTGTTCCTTATTGTTGTCTAAAAAACAACATATTCAAAGCTCACTAAAATCTCAGGGAGCTACTTCCATGGGTTTTTTTCTTGTAAGTAAAATTTTTTTGTAAGCTAAATTTTCTTGTAAGTAAAATTTGATGTAGATCTAATGGATCCACGTCACCAGTTGAGTTAATCGTTCGCGATTTAAGAAAGGGACTGTGCCAAGAACGCGTAAGTCTACTCGTTCCTTTTCCATAGGGCATTTTCTCGGGCGTTATGGTGGAAGGATATCGTCAGGGTGGAGAGAAAGAGCTACCGCAATGCAGGCAAGGGCGTTGTCAGGGGCGACCCTAGTGACCCTAAAGCCTCATTCGCACCGAATGTGCCGCGATACGTTTGCGGAACAGCACCCGTGTGTCCGATCGGTCTTTCGATTTCGATTCGATATGTCGGCCATGCGGACCATAGTTCGTCCGACCGGTCGTTCAGATTTGTGCGCTCGTCATTTGTCGGCCGCACGCTGGTGTGATGTAAAACCGCTCTCGATTCACACATTCGTAGCAAATTTCGTAATAAGCCGCAGAATTTGATGGACCACGATGCCGCTAATACCACAGCAAAATATCCTTTTAATTTCCTGTGACCCGGTTTCACTAATGTAAAATTTACTTTAATCTCGATTAAACTAACTATTTATTAAACAAAATATCTTTTAAAATCGTAATGTGAATATACATTAATTAGGAAATAAAGACCCTAATAAATGGTCAAACTGGATCTTCAGTGTGAATTTATACCACCATATTCAATTCTGCAAACTGCGCGCTGAATTTAATTTTTAATCTTGAAACATAATTCTAACAGAACTGAAGTAATAATATTAATTTACAAGCAATTTAATAATATTGATGCTTATAAATAGCTTAATAATCTGATGCTGATAAGCATCCTAAAATTAGAAACGGATAGAGTAAATTAAATGAAAATCATGTAAAATTAATTGTTGTATAATCGGACCTGGGACGTCCAAATTTACGAAGGTTTGTTCGTGCAACTGTATCTTTTACATTCAAAATCATATGCTTTCTCTTTTTCCACTATTTGAATATGTATTATTTTTATCTCGTTTTAAACACAACCATTTTGGGGGACAAGTAAAACGGACTAAACGTCAATTAATATTAATGTCAATTAAAATTCAATGTATTTTTGAAACATTTAAGTCGCGATTTAATTCACGTATACATTTCCGTCCTATTTCAACATTGTTATTTTCTTTTTTTCCACCGACTCATATTTGCAATTTAGAATTGCAAAAGTTTTCTCTATAATCCAGATATCTCTCGGTGACAGGCTTACCGGTGGGTAATAGAACGCGCGACGTAATCCCGTTAATTCCTCGTTATGCAAATGGCAGGACACTCGATTGCGTAATTGTGTTGACCTTCAGTTGAACTGCATCTACATTTCCGGGGGAAATTTGGAGGCATGGATTCTAAAATTCCTCCACGTATACCATAAGTCTTTTAGTTTTAGCTGCACTTTCTGCAATTACCTTGAATCTTTTTGTTCCTCCTCCGTCCTTCCGTTCTTCTTTCAAGCTCGGAGTATTCGTCTTGTTTCGCTTTAAATGCAGGAAGCGTAAGAAAATGGAGCTGAAAAGAGCACACTTCACGTTCGTCGTTTAAGTTAATTAGGAAAACTAAATTATATATACGCTAAAACGAAAGCGCGAGACGGTTACTAATTCAGACGTTGCCTACCTACATCGATATTGCGTTTAGAGCAAATCTCGAGAAATCTGAAGCTCATATTATCGCAATATTCACGATATCGACCAAGATTTGATGTAAATATCTAATCGATTAATTGTGCTTCCATACGTCCCGCTTGTCCTTTCGCGAATCGATGTGTAAGGGGATAGTCATTAACCGATCGTGCATAGTGGTGTCGAATTATATCAAGCGCCAAATCAAGCTCGCCGGACTCGTGGGGGGAACTACTCTCTGTATTTACTCGTCCCATTAACGCCGAATTAGTATGTGGAACGTAAACGCGCGCGTAAAATAGAGACGAGTTAACCGAATTACCATAAATCGATGCCATGCCGTGCCTTTACCGCGTGCTCGCTCTTGCGCCTGCGGCAACATCAACGGCAACAACATCCGGATGCACAATGGTCGATGGTGCCTTGTCGGTGTCCATTGTATCCGCTGGACATCCCGCGATCCGTTAATTCATCGCAGATTTACTTTAGCCGTCTCGGTTTGCGCGATAGTTAGATAAAGACGGCCGATATTTAGAAAATTAAGGTCATGTCAACGTGTTATTTTAGTCAGGCTGGTATTACTAGAGGAGGCAGTGGAATAAATAACAATAGAAAATAATGAGATTTACTTATTTTCGTTACAGGTTGATTTGAAACCTTTGCGAGAGACGGCGGTGGCGGTTCCCGCGCCGAAAATTACCGAGAAGCGAAAAGCTGAAGATGCCGATGCCAGCAAGGATCTCAAGAAGGTAAATATATTCAGCTTGTTTACGCTGACTGTTTGAAGAACGATTTAATAAATTACAGCGCGACTGCGGTATTAAAGGTTGATTTTAAAATGAGGTCAGAATATCTGTGCTTCTAGGATGCTATCGAATTACGAGTTACTTCGGTATTCAGTATCTCCGAGCTTCACTGGCTTCTTCAGAAACTTCAATTAGCCGAGCAAGCTCGTTGTTTGTTGTTTTATGTTTTATCGCCGGACCCCGATTTTCGAAATTGCCAGGGCTTTCTACATCGACCATTTATGACGCATCACTATTTCTGTCGTTCCATATGTTTCCCGAATCGTATCGTTGCACCGTGTACGGTGTTATCGAGGATCACTGAGTGATTCTCGCATCGGTTAACGCCACGTTATGCGGCTGTGCTGTTAGTCAGGGGACCGGTATGGATGTCCATTTCCAAGCCCTCGTAACTCACCGAGGACCGACTGACATTGCGGGAGAGGGAACATCGCGGGTTAGAGTTAGGAGCAGATCACGTGTATCTATACCCATTGCACCATCTATTCGCTGTCGCGTATCTCTGTCGTCCTCGTCGATATTCGGCGCGTCGTGGCGTGAGGCACGGCCTCATTAGTCTACCCGCCCATTCGCTCCCTCATTAACGAAATAAACGCGGTCGAGAGGCGGCGAGTCCGGTTGGGCTTTGAGAAACCCGAGTTGTCGGTAGTCACTGTTGCAAGAAGCCACTGATGGCCTTTGGCATTTAGCTATACGCGGATTACAAGTCTGTTCTTCGATGTGGCGAGAGTTAATGACGTTGCCACAATAGTGTCGTGATAGAATAGTAAGTATAATATGGTATGTGAAAAGATATTGAAGAATGACATTTCTTTCATTATAATACTTATTGCGACAAATATTATTGCCAAAGGTTCTAAGTGAAGACACCCGCGCGAAATAAATACGAGAGATCCGAGTTTGAATGTCAACTGGGACAATATTTTAATAAATTAAATTATTTACAGTTCTTAAGGGGTGCTTAGATTAACATTAAATTATCAATATTCTTCTAAGATGCTTATCAGCATTAAAAATTATTAAATTTCAATTTAATATGATATTACTTTAGTTCTGTTCATAATTACGTTTCAAGACCGAAAACATTTTCGACGTGCTGTTTGCAGAATTAGATATATATATATATATATATAATTTCACTATGATGAAACATTTAAGCACTAAGAACTGCTTTGACAAGAAATAGATTTATTTCTCTTAATTGATAAAGAAGACCTATATTTTATTCTTATAGACTTATCTCCGTTGTATTTTTATTAGCTGTACGTAGATTACAAATTTGCTTTTCGATGCAGCGAAAGTTAATGACGTTGTCGTAACAGTCGCGATAGAGAATAGTATGTGATATAAGAAAAAAAACCTTCCTCACTTTATTCTTGTAGATTCATCTTCGTCGTAGAAAATCGCTAAGAAGATTGCACATTACGTAATCTTTTTTTTCATGAGAATTACTTCGTGGAACAGTCATCGTTACATTGCACCTAATATGCGTTAATAGTCTTAATAGCGCATTCGTTCGAATGATCTAGCGGAAAATGTCCAATCAACCGGCCATAATAACCAGAAACATCATGGATAAAAATAGTTAAATAAATATTTTATTCGATGCATCTCGCGAAACAGATACGCTGCGATTTATTCCCGCTCCGTGTCCTTCCCCCCATAATTTGCCTGCGATTAACCCCTGTGATTACCAGGCTGTTTATTTTTTCTTACGCTCAAGCAGTAATAGTTTACAGTTTCGCTTCGAGTTAAGCTAAGATAGCTAGGAAATTAATTGCCCAAGGCAGGCGCTTAGGAGTCTCGGGCGAGTACTCTAGCCAAGCAATAGTTCGTTAATCCACCATTGATCTAAGTAAACCCAAAGCTCCGAAGACGTGTTTTAAACTCGCATTCGGTGCATTATTTTCTCCTCCATTTTAATACCCGAGTTTTTATTTGCTTGTTAACTATAGTTAGGCTTAACCTGATGTTAATATAAAAATTGTATTTTTCTATCTCTGGTTTATCATCACTAAATTGATGATTTGTAATGAATAACTTTTAGGCCCGATTTTTCATTATCCATTAAATGCCCGTTTCTACTAACATAGTTTTAATGTTAATCTCGGTTTAAAACTCGGTCACCAACTTTTCATCTTTTTCTAGTTCTAAAAATTTGAACCGAGATTAAAATTGGTAAAAACGGGCATAACTTGTGGTCTTTGGACTTTATCTCACTTGATAATGTAATAATTAAGTGTATTTTTCTAACTATGAGAGATTAATTACTGAAGATTTTATAATGGTAACTTTAAAAGTTATTCACTACAAAACTACCAGCTTAGTAATTAATCATTAGATAGAAAAGTACAATTTTTATATTACTATTAGGTTAAGCCTAACCACAAGTTAACCACTAAATGAAGAACCGGACCTTAAAGTTATCACTAGAAAATCATTAGTTTAGTGATTGGTCTAGAAAATTACAATTTTTGCATTATCATCAAGTAAAGTGAAGTTAAGTCTAAATCATAAGTTAACCAGATAATGAAAAACTGAGCTTAAGACGTGCTTAAAAATGCATATCTCGACGCGTGTTATTTCAGCAGGAGGAACTTTCACGGAGAAATGAAACCGAGCGAGAATCGTATTGCGCGTGAAACGACGGATGAGTAAGCAGTAAGAAAAGAGGAATTACTCGACATGCGTTCCCTCCGTCTCTCGATCAATCGTGACGGATCCAATTGATTCCGGCGCAACGGTTGAAACAAAATCACCGTCTTAACGGAAATGTCGCACTGCAAGCAATCCGTGTACAGCAACAGGCGGCGACAAGCCGTGCCAGAGATTCGAGGCGAGGTGTTTGTGTGCGTATGTACGTGGCATTTGCGCTGGATGGTCGTTCTCCATTTCGTTGCTCTTTTTGCTCGTTGTGACCCGGCGTTGAGAAAGTACATTACGCTGAATGTCGTAGCTACTATACGACGTCACCTTTTGCGCGGATTTACTCCTTTTCCTCGTACTCTGTCTTGTGCTTCGCACAAGGGGTCGCGGAACTCTTTGCGCGTCACGATGAAAGAAACGCTCTTGGTAAGGGTAGACGATACGTTACACCTAGGCGTGCGAAAGTAATTTATCTCAGCGAGTCCCTGAGTGCAGTGACGACTCTCTCTCTCTCTCTCTCTCTCTCTCTCTCTCTCTCTCTCTCTCTCATCTTTCTTTCTCCCCCTCTCTCTCTTTCTCTCCTATTCCAACGCATCGTAAATTAGCCCCGGGAATACACATGCGATGACAGATTGTTGCGCGCGAGCGACTCGATGATGAAGTAAGATATCTCGTGTGCGCGACTTAAAGGGCTATCTACAATGAAAGTAATATGATGTAGTAAGTCATAAGCCGTAAGAAATGAACCCATACTGTTAGATCAAGAGGGCAATCCAATCCCTTGAGTAAAATAAATAATTTTGTTTTATTTAACTTTCTGTGTCAAAATGTAAATCAATCCATTTCTGTGATTAATCTCAAAGTAAACATCGTTCATATTAACGTATTCTGCAAAATCTTTGGAGTGGAATCTAATTCTAAAAAAGCGACAAGGAATGATAATTGAGCCAGTGTTGAAAAAGAGTGGCTCAATTGTCAATTTTTAAGAGTGAGATTTGACTTTTTAGAATTAGATTCCACTCCAAAGATTTTAGAGAATATGAATTTAATAAATAATAAACTAAATTGTATATAATTTGAGTTAAATTTAATATATTTTCTTGAGTTAAATGCTTAACCCCATTGTTTTAGTCAAATTAACATATTGACCTCATAATTACCTCAATAATGAATTTCATTCTTCTTTGTCTCGTCTCTACACGTTTCTAATCATCTCTATCTTATCCTCTTCATCGTATAACCAATTTCAGTCTGCCTTATTTTATGTTGTAAATATTTCAACCTATTATCTAATGATGTTCGTTCTTCCGTATCTAACTTTCACATTCAGATCAGCATCTTCTCTCTACATAGCTTCTTATTTTTACCATAATATTAGTACACATTTAATATAATATTATTACGTTTAATATAATGTTAGTACTTTATATCTTATTTTTCTTTCATTTTCTCATACTTTTGTTTTTCATCATATTGTGGTATTATTTTTTAATAGCAAAACTCGTTTTTCACTGTTACACAGTCATTTATTTTTGTTATAAAACCTTTATCAAGGTTTAGACGTATATAAGCAACACTTTGCCTTATCTTTTGAGATGCCGCTCTAGAATTACATTGTGTACCACGTCTGTAAACTTATATTTTTTAGCACGTCAGTAAAGTTTATTATTATTATTATTATATTTAGTAGAAGCAGTGACTTATAGACATAATGTATAAAAATAATTCAAATTCGGTATAATTTGACATTATGAATTTAAAAGTGCATTACAGTCGAATGTGAAAAGAATAATAAATTACGATTGATTAGTTTCTTACAGCTTACTACTTGATACACAATATTATCCCCATTATGGACGAACTATAAGAGATGATTAAGCTCCTCATTATTTTACGGTTGTTACTTTAAATCTTATCGTGGGAAGATGATCATGTTGTCTTATTGTGGGAAGGGAATGAGCATGTCATCTTGTACAGTGCGCGTGTTACGCGAATGTATACACGCGCGAAAGGCAGATACAGCGTTCGAATGCGGTAGAATTTGCTATGTCCGAAATGGGAATGCACACGCACGCGGGTCACCGCCTGGCATGTCTCTCTTTGTCATCCTCCTCCGTGCATTCCACGCGGCTACGTTCGTACATTCGATATTACAGCACGTGATATTCCGTTTGCAAGGTCCTCCCTCGCATAAATCCGCCGACGAAAATATACATCTTGGCTGTCTCGTGGTTGGAGCAGCAGGAGGGCCTGCGTTCTCTATATACGAGGTTGACTACGATGTAGGACGTAGAGGC